GATAATTTTAGTTTCTAGTGTAAAAAATGCGGAACTCGTTTTTATTTTTATAAGGAACTGTAAGATACCTTATAAAAAAAGACAGAATTAAGACACAAAGTAAAATTCTAAATTTTATTGCGTTAAATGAAAGATTTATTAAATCTAAGACAAAAAATTTTACTTGAATTTTTATTATAAACACTGTGGCGAGAATCGTACATGTCAATGTCAGGATATATCGTGTAATAAATGTACTCAATAAAACAGTAAAATTTGTCACCAGAAATATATTCTGATCTATTATTCCTTGATTTGTCGAAAGTTTGTAACTGGACAACGTTATCTAACACCATCCTAAATGCCGAAAGGGTATCGCTTAAATTAAAAAACAGCCAAGAACTTCCGAAAAGAATAAATACCGATGAATACATTCATTGACGTTTATCTTTAGCTCCTGCAATGTAGTTACTGTTCTCAGAGCTTCCACATTCCAGCATTCGTATCTGCTAATAACAAGAACTTACTGAAGAAAGCGTGTGTCAATATATATATATATATATAAGATTAATTCATGCCTCTCTTCTACCGATGCGCTTTATATTAGAATATTTAAAAGGGATAAAATATACTAATATATTAATTTATTTTACTGGCAACTGATATATATTTTTGAAGAAGTAAGGCATGTTGTATCAGAATTTGTAATTATGTAATTAAAATATGTATAAGTATAATTAAATTATAAATTGTATAGCAATTAATTTATTATAGAATATTTAGGAAATATATCCGCCATCTATTTTTTAGAATAATTTTAATTGGATAGCCTACAATTTATCGCCACGTATCATGATTTTTTGTCGAAGTTTTTGGGATTTGATTGTGAAATTGATTGTCCATTGGCATAGATTAGCGAAGACGAGCTATTAAGGTCATCCCAATTAACGACTGACAATTCACGCGAAGCTATCTCTATAGTTATGGCATTGGGAATTGAATTCTCCGAAATTACGTTAGCTCGTGATCGGTAATAGGTCGTTGTGGCACAACGATTAGACATCGAAAGACCTTCGCAAGTTTAGACTCTGACTCTTCCCTGACGTTTATAAGGTGTTGGTTGTGAAACTGGCACCTTTTCTTGCATTTTGTATGCGATTTGCAGCTTCGTCTGATCTTTTCTATTCCAGACAGTCACGATTAAGAAATCTTTCTGTCGAGATTTTATTTTATCTGTTGAAAAGATCATTATTTACTCTTACTATTACGACTGATTTAACTGATTGATTATACATTGGAAGTTGTTCTATGTAACAGATTAAATCATCTCTCACTCAAGCCTGTTTTCAACTATGTCAATTAAACTTGAAAGAGATTATTTAACTGTACTGTACATCAAAATATAAACTGTTTATCATAGAAATATTAGGACATATAAATAGAGATCAAAGATTTCTGTATTTTTCTTGATTAATATATACATATAATTGTTTCATTATCTTTTCAGGAAAGATAATAAAAATATAATATACATTACAATTAACAAGTAAATAGCAAAATATTCACGTCCTATTTTTTTTCTAAATGATTTATTAAGAAAGCTCTTTTGCCTAAGTTTTTATTTAAAGGAAGGTCGACTTTTAATTCACAAGAAAATTTCTCATTGAAAGTCAAATCGCGAAATGCGAGGTTCTTTGCATATTAATTGCCGCGTTAATTACTGCGCCTAAGCATTACTCGAATGCAGTTTACAATTGTTAACAAGGTGTTAAAACTGGGCCAAAGTTGGACCCAACAACGAGGCGAGATAATCTACGAAGAACAAATGCTCGGTTCGCAGAGTAGAATGGAATGTTTGATTTCGCGTAAGCTGTAAAGTTTGTTAAGCCACGCACACGTACGTGAGTATAAGACATTAATGAACTTTCCGCAGATTTATACTAAGTAAAGTTTCCGACATATACTTGTCACGCGAGATCTTTACCGTTCTGAAAAAAATTCTTCAAAATTAACATGCACTTTACACAATGCAACTAATACATGCCATTATGTCATCCTGTACATTTAATATTGATTGTACATATTTTGTTTTATATGTTTTGCTAAATGTACATTTCAGTCCAGAAGTTTGGAAACATTTTTAAAAAATTAATATTTTTCGAATTATTTACTTTACTATCCATAATCATGGAATCGATTCTGTATCTTGAAACGAGGTGAAAATTACAAAAATGAACGAATTTACTAGAATACTGATAATTTCATTGGTCAACACCTAGTGAATTTGCTCACTTTTGTAATTTTTCATCTCATTTCAAGATACAGAATCGATCTCCATATGTGTCTTTTCAATATATTAATTCTTTAAATTCAATAAAACAGTTATCCGAACTGAAGAATTATCATTAAAAAACACATTGTTATAGATATTTTCCAAAGATTGAAAATATTAAATAAATTGACATTTTTAATTACTCAAATATCTATAACAATGTTTTTTGAAATAATAATTTTTTTAGATCCGATCACAATTATATCCAATAATAATTATCTGAAGAATATTACGTAATCCCAAAACATGTTAATTTTCAAAAAGTTTTTTCGAACTTTTGGCTTGGAGTGTATATCTTATAGGTGGACAATATATTGCATTTTCTTTTATACTATCATTTCTGCGACGCATATCACGTAGAAGTCGTTGAACGCGTTATGCGCGTTCATTAAAATATTTGATAGCAATTCTCTCACGAGAGCGACAGACGCACTCGCAAAATATGATCGTTCACAGGGCAGTCCACTCGAGATATTTCTAAATCTAGAGAAGTGCTCCCAAGAGTATATCTTTCTTTTTTTTACCTTTTATTTTGTATCGTCTGGCGATGTTAGGCTGACACTTCCTGTCGGCTTGTCGACCTTTTAAACGTACCGGTTGAGATACCACCACTCGAGTGGCGTTAACTTTTCGTGGGATACGATGATGAGGTGTCAAGTATGCGTTGTAAATCATAACTTTAGATGTAAATTAATGAGTATCGATAAACTCTACGCGATTATAGTCTTCGATAAATGATTTATGCATTAATGTCTTATTAATATGATATACGCTCTCTACTTTTTATGCTCGTCAATTTGCCACAAAATGATGAATCAGTGCTCTAGTTTGTTGTTCAATTTTTTTCAAGAAATTCTTATATTTATTTTTTACTTTATTGTTTTATTATATAAGTTTTTATGTAAGACTTTATATAAATTTTATATAAATTTTTATCAGACATCCTGAAAAGTAATGTTATTACAATGATAATATCGCTTTGATTAAAATGAAAGTAAGCATAATATAAGATATTTAGATAATTTTCGCAATTAAAACAATATTTTTTACTTCGTGCCTTACTCGCTTCTTAATTATTTCTCAATTTTTTGTCTTTTTATTTTCTCTAAAATTTTTGCACACTTGAAGATCCTTTGCGGCACATTGGTTGAAAAACTCTACTCTAATTGCATAGATGTATGTAATGTACGACATCTATTATTATTTATAGTCAATAGTTAATTTGTACACGTTTCGACATCTCAATCACCGAATACGAATCGTTAGTCTCATGACTGGGATGTCATTTAAAATTACTCATCCGTGTTTCAATAACCGCAATACGCTACAAAAATGTATCATTAATTCATAAGAAATCCCGGACTTGACGTTGGCGTCCTTGCGGTCCCGATCGTTGCATCACATCGGTGACAAAACGGAAGACCTCGAATGATAATTTCACGACGGCTCGAGATGCGTATTTCACAATGTCCGATTAATATGAGATGTTTAGTACACGGAAAGAACTATTTATTTGAAATATTTAATATTTTAGTTAGATACAGATCTGAAAATAATTTTGTTAGACTATCAAGATAATTATGTAGGCTTAAGCTTGATGTTAAAATGTTAAAACTATTTGCAACATCGATCATCATGCTTTTCTACATAAATTTTCTACATAATTATTTTGATGGTCTAACAAAATTACCTTTAAATTTATATCTAGCTAAATTTTTACATCGAAAAAAGAATCTGATTGCATTGCTTCAGATTAAAAATGGACAAATCAGAATTTTCTGATTCGTCCATTTTCAATAAAAAAATTTTTCTTAATATAGATTCTTAATATAGATTTCTTAATATAGACTTCAGCAAAATCGTTGTTTCCGCGTAAACTAAATCTTATTTATATAATTTTATTTATGGATCAATACAAGAGACAGAATTCTTCAATTCTATTCCGTATTACGGATTCTGTATCGCATAAGGTGGGCTTGGATTTTATTCATGCGGTCCATTGTCCGTATTTTTGTGCTTCGCATGCCAACCGATGTATCGAGCAGCTTGCCAAGCCGGCCGACCTTCCGTTCGCTTGCTCGCTCGCGCCTACCTATCTACCTGTCTACCTGCTTGACCTCATCCAACTTGACCTGCTCCGGTTGCTTGCGACTTTGGTTTCGTTATACTGACCTCGACCATCCTTAAAGGCTCATTTCCAGGCGACGTTGCGTCATGACGCTCTCGCTGTCACGCTAGAGTCGTATGCATAACGTTACATCGTCGCGGTATAGTAATGTAACAACTACATAATAACAACTACACTTATATATCAGTGCGACGAATTGCGAAATTCAATTGTCACGGTAATCTATATCGTTGCTGTGATGACAATGTCGCGGCGACATGTACCGTACTATAGTTTGAGCACTTGCTTGTATAGTACACGTGCTACGTTTGTGCAGCGTGACATCGAGCAAGGCTACGCTCGTTGCATAAATGTAGTGGCAATTATGATAATGGAATATAACACAAATTGTTGACAATTACGCTAATGTTATGAGGGGATGTTTTATATTTAGATTAGCTACTACGAATACAGGTGCATTATAATGCATTATTACGAACATTGCATTGCTCATAATATTGCTGTCATCGCTGAAGGAAATTTCACGTTTCTAACGTTTCTGCTTTTTTTGTGTGTTCACAGACGAACGAGATGCTATACAGAAAAAGACCTTCACGAAGTGGGTGAACAAGCATTTGAAAAAGGTGAGACCGCTTCTCGAATTCTAGCGTTAGTTTTATATTTTCCTGCGGCGTTTTCTCGTTACTTCACGTCATCTTAATTAGCCTGATGCAAAATATCCTCTATTGGAGAAATGTGAATAAATTTGTGATGAATTATAGGAAGTATTTTAAGAAATGAATTATACGTTACAAAAATTTTGTACGTATTAAAAAATTTAATATTTTGATTATTTGTAGCAAGAATTTTGAAACAAAAAATAAATGTATCTTTTCTCAGTAGAGGATGTTTCAAGTCAACCGTATTTCTTTTTAGAATTAAACGAGAAAATTAATATTTAAGAGAGAATATATTTTGAGATACTCTGTATAACGACTAAAGGCTCAGATTACAATACAATTGTGTGACGTCCTAGGTCCACAGACTTCTATTAGACTGATCACTTCGCCATCATGTTTGATATCAAACAGTATCCTCGAGGAAAAAAGGCTACTATTTTATATCTATCTCACACAGCCTTGATAAAAAATATTAGGCATCTACATATATTTTTTCACTTATCTGAAATTTATCTGCATTGTTACCTATTGGTTAACTACTTTATACGTTTAAAAGATTTTGGAACAATGAATAATTTACAAATGTCAAATCAATTTTCGAGCTGAAACTTTAAACAATGATTAATAAAATGCTTAATATTTTTGGCCAAGGTTATATACATAAATAATATAACAATACACAGTCATATGATACACTCAGATCACGTGGAATTTACAGTGTTCATACGTAGACATGAGTTGCATTTAACAGAGAAAACTAATCAATGAATACTTAATAATTCTTTAATATGATTGGTTCCTACACTTAGATCTAGCGAAGAACTAGGCAAGATCCAATCATATTAAAGAATCTAAACGCTCATTGATCAGTTTTCTCTGCTACGCAGCCATTAAAACCTTGTGTTCACGATGCTAAAACTCGGATCAAGTTCTAGCATCGTGGACTTAACAAGAACTTCTTGGCATCATTTTTGTCCTTTTTTATCACATGCAAAATAATTGAAATAAAGTCTATACAGTTATAGAAGTATGTGCCTATTTGAGGATTATTAAGTGCGGTCTTTTACTTTGGTCTTATCGTTCTAACTTCACGTCTATTCTTTCAGTAAACAAGTCTCAAGTTTGAGATGACGCATAATTGTGTATTTTATTCATTTGCAAGCTCCTCGTTTTATGTTACCGTGACGAAATTACAAAGGCATATTGTCACTTCATGCACAAAGCAGTAAATCATCCAATGCCGAAGGATTTACGATTCACGTATATCGTGATCTGTGCAAGGAGGCACAGTATGAGAGAAAATTTATTTCTATTCAGATTATTTTTACTCGATAGGAGAAGACAAATTTATACGTTGTTCAATACTCCACGAAGCACATAAATCTACAGAATATCTACAGAATTGCGCGAAAGACAACAGCGTAACGCCAGTGAGCTGTTGAATCGAGACGATCGCAAACAATAGCCACGGTGCGTCGCGAAAGCGTTAAATCGCTGGAAGTAGGAAACGCGTTAGTAGCGCGGCAATCGAGGTTTACGTCGCAAATACGCAATAGAGGACGAAGCACGGGTTCCGTGGAATGTCATGGGGCCTTGTTTTGTCCCCCTCCAAACTTTCGAAAGGATCGTCGCGCCTTCTCACGCTCCCCGCTTTTAACACCGTACAAGTAGGTGTCTCGCGTGCGCGCGAATCGCCACGTAAAAATAAGCAAACTCTTGTTGCGTAACGACGGTCCCGATATCGCGGCCCCCGTGTTGCGTATGTGGCACGCACGTGGGTCGAAAGTACCTTGTCGCTCGTATGTGAGGACCGTACTACTATAGAAGGTAGCGGGGCCTGAACCGCGATATGTGGGCGACACAATCGAGGAAAAGTCGCGAGCGAGCGACCAATTGATGACACGAGACAGAATCGTCTTCGGGTCCCAAAACGATCACCGGCGTAAAAATCCTTAAGTAATTGGCAATCTGTACAATGAGAATAATACTAGAGTCGTAATCCGATTCACGTTCCACAACACTTACTATGTCATCATATCATTTGTCTTTGTCACATTGAAGAAATTTAATCAATGAATTGATGCTAATCTGGTTGCACAATTGAATTCCGGTTGAAAATGAATAAATCAGAATTTTTTGGTTTAATCTATTATAATTCTAGTTGAGATAATCAAAGTTCTGATATGATGAAAATCTTCTGATTCATTTTTAACCAACATTATATATATAATTATGTATGTATAATTCATAAAACTGAACTGAATTATTGTCAATAACATTGATCACGTAAGGTTGTAAAAGTATTTTGATGTGTACTATCAATATTATTGATTTAATATCACTGATTACTACTATTGATCACGAAGGTTTGTATTACTTGAAGATTTCTACACTGACGTATTTCACTGGGCCGTACAGAAAAAAATTTGACGTAAACACAGATTTGTTTTTCCGTCTTGAGTCTCACGAAGTAAGAGATACCTCGAGTTACGTTAATTGATAACGACGATTATCGTTAAATGGCGAAAGTCAGATACCGATCGCAGATAGCAAAAATACCTGATGAGCTTCGATTCTCGGCACGCTGCCGTGGACGCTGCGTTGTATGTCCGGGATAAGAAGGCGGTCAAACGTTTCTCGATAAGGGATCGCCCGCCTGTCCGTCCGTTGCACGTCTTCGCAAGCGTGAGTAACCGCGAGCTATGCCATGTGGTTGGAAATTCTCTGCCATAAGGGAACTGCACACTTACATTTGACAAGCCATTGCAGTCAGGATTTTACGATGAATATTTGCATACCGCGAACAATGCTGAGAAACGTTAACCCGTGAACATTCGCGCTTTCGGCGATGCGCCGAGATAGATCATTTTCTCACGTGGTGATAAAATATGTATGAAGTATCTTATTATCTCGTAATTTTGTACCGTGTCAGCCATACTTACGAATCATTGTTAAATGTAAAGTTCTTGCTAAGTATTTTCTAGATTGATCATGGTAGATAAAATTGATAGAGAAAGACACCGTTGCCGTATAGGCAATCACTTGCCACGTTGCAAGTTTACTGATTAGATTAAATAATGACTTAACGGTAAATACTTTGTCGAATGAATTCTTGTGTGATAATTAATAAATGGATAATTACTTTAAATTGCTCGTTTATATAAGCGAGATTATACGATATCAGGTTATCCGTAAGAGATGTGTAATTATTGCTACTTCTTGGTATTTTCCATTACGACTGGTAAAAGAAAAATCATAATTGAATTCTCAAGTCTCAAAATCTTCCAAATTTTTAAGTCGTGAGATTTAATATTAATTAAAATGATCTCGCTTAATCCTACATTACTCGCGTGGTTTCTTTAACGTGATTGTTCGCATGGAATGTTTATAACACTCCAACATTACAGCCTTGGCCAAAAATATTAAGCGCTTTATCAATCATTATTTAAATTATTTTCAGTTCAAAAATTAATTTATGGATAACTTTTGCTGTAAATTATTCTTTGTCTCAAAAATCCTCTTAACTTACATATAATGCTAGTAAAAGAATTCCAGATAAATGAAAAAAATTTAGATGTTTAATATTTTTGGTCAAGACTGTATATCTCAATTTTTATCGTTCTCTTTGATTTACAATAAAATAAAGATTGATAATATTTTAATAATATTTATAACATTTTATATATTCTTTAGATAAAGGTAAATGCAAAAAAATGTTTTTAATTATGAAATAATTCACGTTAAATATTGTATAATAATGTATATAAATAGTATTTATATATTTAGAGCAAATTTATGAAACTGAGGATGTCCTGGACAACTCGAGTAAATAAAGAGTTAATCATATGAAGGAGATACCTTCGTATACATATTTTCGTCAGTAAATCTGGGTGAAGCTGTTTGTGCATCTATGTCCAGGCATAAATATTCAATTAACTCATCAATTATACTTAAGTGAGAGAAAATCATGACACGGAGAGACCCAAGAGACCGTGCCTGCTTTCGTTCGGTGGTATGCACCGCGCGTATGTCAGTCAGGACTTAATACAGACAATGATTCATCCGTCACGGTGGAGCCGCACCAAGTCGACTCGAGTTGAGTTGAGTCGAGTTGAGCCGCGAGGCAGACCGGGTCGGCGGCTCCGGGAATGGTTCGAATCACGGCCGTATACGGGTGGAGTTGTCCCGTCGACGTATAATTATCGTAAGCTGGCATCGTTCTGTCGTGCCGTTTCCTGCCCACCGTTTCTCATTCCTTGCTTCACTCTCGCTGCGCTTCTTTCGTTGATTGCGGATAAAACTGGATGATCTCTGTACGAAGTTGGCAGACCATTTTCAGAGAACTTTGATTCTGAGAGAGTCCTGACCCTTGCCCAAAAGATTTTAGAGTACTCGATAAATTTGAAAAACAAAAACCTAAACAACACAATTCAAAATTAGGACGTTTTAGATTTTTGGACATAAAACATTTAAGATTTTTGCACATGTGTATTGTCTGAGAAGTTTTAGCAATTAGATTTTAAAAATGGAGGCTAATGGACTATTTGCTTTAGATCTTTTGTTACATTAACTTAGTTACAATTTTTTTATTGCGATCATAATTGAATCCTAATATTATTTGATGGGATAGATATGAGATATTATCTGATAGCGAATTCGATTGAATGCTCTAGGAAACTCTTGAAAAAATACTAGATTTCCAGAAGAAAAATTTTTATCTACAAGGACTTGGAAAATATCTAAAAAGTGGAAAATCACCAGAATTTCTAGTTTACTGATACTGATCAGTATATTAATTCTTGAAAAGCCTTAATCCGGATTTAAAAAAACCGGTTTTTGCAAAAAATTGTTTATGTGAAAAGATTCGAAAAATAATAGATGTTAAAGTTAGTAAATCTTTTGCGAATTCATTAAGAAATTCGGCCTTTTCTTGGCCGAAATTGGCAATTGAGGGAGGTCGTCGC